CAGTAACCTCATATTTAGACAACTAGAACAGTACGCAAGTGCTGATTGCCACAAAAACACTGGGGGGTGGGGACTAACAGGGTGCAAGCTGGCCAGATAGGAATTTGTTCTGGGAGCCTGGGTGTTTCAGATTTCGCTTCATATATATATATATATATATATATATATATATATATATATATATATATATATATATATATATATATATATATACTTTTAAATATATAATATCTCGTCCCTACCACCCCTGATAATCTCACCCCAACCCACTGTGTGAGACCGAGACTAACCCCTTAGAGTATTGTTTTCCAGCTGGAGTTATGGCTCCTTATTGTTTACAGGACGAGTTGGCCCTCGCTAAACTGGTCGAGTTACGTCAACGCGCCAAGGTCACCCCGGCATATCAGCGCGAGCTAGCCGTGGAGGGTCACGCTTGACTGGCATCCGGCTATCCATTTCCCGATCTCCCGGCTATTCTAGGGGCCTTTTGTGTGGGGGGACCGCTGTATGTGCGGCTAATATTCTCCCGCTGTAGTCGTGTATGGATTCAATGTGCATTAAATTACCTCCCGTTCTGGAGAGTTCCCCACTTGGTTGTTTGACGACAGCAGAAAAATCTGAGGAACTCGGGCTGGGGTTTTTTGTCTGCAGGTGATAGGTAGGCTTTACATGGGGCTAAATGTGGCCCGCTGGCTCAATGGGCCAGAGGTGACAAGTATACATGGGGCTAAATGTGGCCCGCTGGCTCAATGGGCCAGAGGTGACAAGTATACATGGGGCTAAATGTGGCCCGCTGGCTCAATGGGCCAGAGGTGACAAGTATACATGGGGCTAAATGTGGCCCGCTGACTCAATGGGCCAGAGGTGACAAGTATACATGGGGCTAAATGTTGAATGTGGCCCGCTGACTCAATGGGCCAGAGGTGACAAGTATAAATGGGGCTAAATGTTGAATGTGGCCCACTGGCTCAATGGGCCAGAGGTGACAAGTATACATGGGGCTAAATGTGGCCCGCTGGCTCAATGGGCCAGAGGTGACAAGTATACATGGGGCTAAATGTGGCCCGCTGGCTCAATGGGCCAGAGGTGACAAGTATACATGGGGCTAAATGTGGCCCGCTGACTCAATGGGCCAGAGGTGACAAGTATACATGGGGCTAAATGTGGCCCGCTGACTCAATGGGCCAGGGGTGACAAGTATACATGGGGCTAAATGCGGCCCGCTGGCTCAATGAGCCAGAGGTGACAAGCACTGGCTCTAACGTACTGTGTCGTGTACACTGGGTAGTTTCATATACACAGGCTGGTCACAGAGTTATACACTGGGCATAGAGTTATACACTGGGCATAGAGTTATACACTGGGCACATAGTTATACACTGGGCATAGAGTTATACACTGGGCATAGAGTTATACACTGGGCATAGAGTTATACACTGGGCATAGAGTTATACACTGGGCATAGAGTTATACACTGGGCATAGAGTTATACACTGGGCATAGAGTTATACACTGGGCATAGAGTTATACACTGGGCATAGAGTTATACACTGGGCATAGAGTTATACACTGGGCATAGAGTTATACACTGGGCATAGAGTTATACACTGGGCATAGACTACTTTAGGCACAGTCTTATACATTGGGTACCGTGAAATACACTAGGTACCAACTTACAGTGTGGTTACTGTATTATATACTGTATTATAAAAGGTGTAGTCCTAAGTTCTTCAAACAGCGTGTATGTACATTCAAAGCTCAAACGTCATTACAATATGTGACTAAAAACCAAAGTTCAAAGGTCACTACAATATGTGACTTAAACCAAACGATGGGCCGTGCACCCCTGCCTACCTAGGTCACCACAACCGCTATCACACGGTCGTCACGTGGTTCAGAATTTAGCGCCAGAAAAAGCCGAGGTGAGCACAAATATTGTGAGCCCGGTCCCCCGGGCCTACTCAGGTGTTCACCAGCTTGTATGTCACGGGGCGCCGTAGCGTGACTTAAAATACTCAACTTCCGGTTCGACCCGATTGGTTTCTTTGCTCTAGTTCTACCTAAAACAACGTGTTTGCCCCGCCCATGTGGAACATCCCCCTCAACGCTGCGAGGAAATGCCTTAGGGGACCTTGATGAATATAACAAAGAGGTGATTGCACTAATCGCAAAGAAACGGACAAGAACTCTCCCCTCAAAGCGCACCCAAGATGCGTCTCACTCAGGTCGTGTTGACGGCTCACCAAAACTCGATCGATGCTCGTCTTTTGAAGCTCCGCCGCTGCACACGAGGCGGACGTGCGAGAAAGGGCAACATGCAGGCGGCGTCAGACAGAGGCCTTTGTTGGTGTGAGTACCGTCAGCTTTGATCAGCTGCATGTGCCAACACAGCAACAACACCCTGCAATCACAGCGCTACCATCAGCACTAAACGGATCTTGGGGCGGCGCTAAACGGATTTTGGGACCGCGTAAAACGGATTTTGGGACCGCGTAAAACGGATCTTCGTTTTCCGCTCAAGAATGGCGTCCCGATGAAGCCTGTAACAAGAAATGTTGCGGGTATGTAAGTCACGGTACGGCACATCACTATCCGGCAAGTCACTATAGAGCTCGGTACGGCAGATCACTATCCGGCAAGTCATTGTTGATTACGGCAGATCATTATCTGGCAAGTCAAGGTACGACCGACTTTTGGGGACGTGAGTTAGGGTAAGGGGAGGGGCAAGCATGGCAGATCAATTATTTCAGGTGCCAGTTTCATCGTTGTTTTCAGCTGAGTTTTTGTTTGTTTTTCTTCTTGTGAAAGCTAAATTGACAAAACACTTTTTAAATCCACGTCAACAATAATGATCGGGGGTATCTCATTAAACTCGACGGGAGATATTGAGTGAATTGAATGTGTGTTTATGTGTGTGTGTGTGTGTGTGTGTGCGTACCTAAAAATGTGTGGAGTTTTGATCGTCTGTGATGGACACACGAGACAGTGAAGTAGAGGATTTAAGTGAAATAAAACTTGTCAAAATATGCTGACACTAATGTAGGACATAATCAACAATAATACAGCTCAAATTACCTCACAGAGCTAAGGTAAATAAAAGGTGACATCAAAAATGCGTAACAATAACATGCTCAAAAGTGCGCAACCGAAAAATGCGCACATGCTAAATTTCATTAAAGTAACAGTAAATGCAATTTTGTGCGCATTGTTTTTGATGCGCATTTCCCATTGCTCATTTATCTGAAAGCCGTGAAAAACAACGATTGGTTTTACTGGACATGTGGTGACCAAAACTGTAGGTCATCTAGCATAGACCAGTCAAAGGTCCAGACATTTTTGGTCAAAGGTCCAGAAATTTTTGGTCAAAGGTCTAAATATTTCTGTTCAGTCAAAGGTCCAGATATTTTCAACACTAAACGACACTAAAATACAACACCTTGATCACATTCAATATTTATCGGATATCAAAAAATGAGATTATTGATAATATTACATTTCTAGTTCTTTAGCTAAACAGATGGGATATCAAGACGTTTGAACTGGTGATAGCAAGTAGTTTAACTATGCCGTTCTTAAAGACATTGCTTCAAAGCAAATATAACATTTCTTTCACTTTCTTCATTAGCAGGAGGTTTTTGATACGTTATGAAAAGAGCCGCATTTATTCATCCGGTGAATGCGGCACCGGACTGGTAGTTTGCCCGTGAGAGTTTCAGTGCTAGTTAGCGACCATTCAACCCAAACACTAGTCCACTTCACGTCGCACTTAGCTCCCTTACTTGAAGGTCTAGCAGACCCTGGTACCCCAACACACGCGGGGTGTGGGGGGGGGGGGGGGGTCCCGCTCAGCCTCAAGAAAATATCAGGATCGAATAATCAAATTAATGGTAATCTTTCACTGTCCAATCAGGTCATTTTAAAAGTTAAACACAATGATAACCAACAACCACACTCAATTAATGGGAAGACAAAAGTCATACAAGTAAAGTCAAACAGCAATGCAAGAAAACTAAAAGAAACCCTAAAAGTAAAGTATAAAAGTCCTAAAAGTAGAGTAAAATAAACAGGGAGTGATCTCTCCTAAACATTCTCGAATATTCTTATATAACACTACGAGGGATGGAAACCCGGGATATAGACATGATTTTTAATCAATTTTTAATTACTTAAACTATTAAAAATAGAACAGAATCTCGTAGAAAAAAAGAATTGCACACCAAGTGAACGCCAAACAATTTGTGTATAATAGTGCGGAATATTAATAGTACTTTATAAATTCACATGCGTTTTTTGAGAAATCGGAACTAGCGTAAATTACTACTTCCGGTCAACGGAAATTACTCAAAATTCAAAATTCAACAGAAGGCAGATCATATCTTATACTTACGTTTGAAATTTCATTTATCTATCTGAAAAAGTACTCAAGTTATAGGCTTTTGAAAAATTGAAAGTATAAAAAGTTCCACTTCCGGTTATCGGGAATCGCTGAAAAGCTGATAGATTTCTAGAAATTCGATATAATACATATATATGAAATTTCATTGACCTAGCTTTAACGGTACTCAAGTTATTGTATTTACAGACACACACACAGACATACGGAAAAGATTTCAAAATTATGTTTTTCCGACTCAGGGTGGTGTAAAACGTCGAGATTTGCAAAAATCTCAATTTGTTTTTGCACTATTGCAATACTTATTCTATACTTCGTATTCGAGAAAGTAAAAACATAATACAACTGAAAGTAAGGTCAAAAAGTACCAACAGAAACTTTTACTAATCGGCAGCTTTTTATTTCATCAGTGCCTTAGAACTTAGTTAATTAGAGAATATTCATGATTATTATAACACTTCTGGTTTGATCACCTGATGTCCAGTGGTCAAATAATCGACCAGGGAGGTGGGGGGGGGGTGGGGGAGGGGTCAACATTTCTCTAGCTCTAGCTTTGTGCACGTCTGCTAGACGTCTGCTCAGCGGCTAAAACAAACGGTCAACTTACCTGTCCGCTTGCTGGAGTTGTTAGGGTTAATCCAGATCACGTGACACACAGTTAATCCACGGTTAGCCTGATTTAACCAAACGTGTTTGGGTTAGCTGAGTCCAGTTACACCTGCAATAGGTAAGGTAGAAAGGATTAGTTATGTTAAACTAAAGGCAGACGCAGGATTAACACCAAAGTGATTTAAGTAACCTGGGTTAGCGTTAACCTGGCGTGTACTAGCGGGATTAACGCCAACCTGAGTTAACAGGACCAGGACTGGGGATTAACGCCAACCCGACTGTAGGTACCCAGACTAAAGTTAACAGTTAACTGCGGTAACTGTGAAATGTTTCCCATGAGAGCGGAGAAATAAATTGCCTCCTATGTCAATACGAGTTGCGTTTTATCGTGGCCTGATTAAACCCTGGCCCACGGAGAGCAGCGACATCTTGTTTAAAAGTTTATCAACGCCGATCAAATACGCACTTGGTTATACAAGGCCAGCGTCAAGGGACGCAACTTGTGCTGGGGACACGAGTTGCCGCCCGTTGTAGAAGGTGCCGGCATGATCAAAGGACGAGCTGTTCAACCGATGATCGCGGCTGATCTCACGTGACAGGCTAGGCCAATCAAATACTGGACAAATTAATAAGGTTTTTTTTTATGAGAGCGATTGTCCAGTTTCTTAAAGCTTGCATGTTGATGAAAAACGACGATATTGGTCAGTGGGAAAAACAAAGCACAGTCTAGGTCACGAGAACAATCTTCTTTCATCAACAACGGTTAAGCCAGGTGATGGGGGGGGGGGGGGGGCTGTATGCAGATGGTGGGGAGTAGATGTCAGAATGACGAGAGGAGGTAAGTATACAGGTAGGATGACAGGTATGGTAGGGGACAGTTCAGTGGGGGGGGGGGGGGGTGTAGGGGGCAAAGGTCAGATGTGTAGGGGCAGATGGTGCCCGTCAGCTGGGGTGTAGGGACAGACTTCAGATAGTGACAGGGAGAGAATTCCACTCGTCTCGTAAGTGACCTACAAGACGAGACATATAACACGAGACATACAACACGAGACATATAACACGAGACATATAACACCAGACATATAACACGAGACATACAATACGAGACATACAACACGAGACATATAACACGAGACATACAACACAAGACATATAACACGAGACATACAACACAAGACATATAACATGAGACATATAACACGAGACATATAACACGAGACATATAACACGAGATATACAACATAAGACATATAACACGAGACATACAACATAAGACATATAACACGAGACATATAACACAAGACCTACAAGACGAGACATATATAACACGAGACATATAACACAAGACCTACAAGACGAGACATATATAACACGAGACATATAACACGAGACCTACAAGACGAGACCTACACGAAACATATAACACGAGACATATAACACGGAGACATATAACGTGAGACATATAACACAAGACCTACAAGACGAGACATATATAACACGAGACATATAACACAAGACCTACAAGACGAGACATATATAACACGAGACATATAACACGAGACCTACAAGACGAGACCTACACGAAACATATAACACGAGACATATAACACGGAGACATATATAACACGAGACATATAACTCGAGACATATAACACGAGACATATAACACAAGACCTACAAGACGAGACATATATAACACGAGACATATAACACAAGACCTACAAGACGAGACATATATAACACGAGACATATAACACGAGACCTACAAGACGAGACCTACACGAAACATATAACACGAGACATATAACACGGAGACATATAACGTGAGACATATAACACCAGACCTCCAACCGTTACACGGCCGTCTTGGGTTAGGCTAGCGATAATTTCATATGTTAGCAGAACATTTGGTCAGGTCAGTGTCAGTATCTACAATAGACAGTGTGGTCAGTATCTACAATAGACAGTGTGGTCAGTGTCTACAATAGGCAGTGTGGTCAGTATCTACAATAGGCAGTGTGGTCAGTATCTACAATAGGCAGTGTGGTCACTGTCTACAATAGGCAGTGTGGTCAGTATCTACAATAGGCAGTGTGGTCAGTGTCTACAATAGGTAGTGTGGTCAGTATCTACAATAGGCAGTGTGGTCAGTATCTACAATAGACAGTGTGGTCAGTATCTACAATAGACAGTGTGGTCAGTGTCTACAATAGGCAGTGTGGTCACTGTCTACAATAGGCAGTGTGGTCAGTATCTACAATAGGCAGTGTGGTCAGTGTCTACAATAGGTAGTGTGGTCAGTATCTACAATAGGCAGTGTGGTCAGTATCTACAATAGACAGTGTGGTCAGTATCTACAATAGGCAGTGTGGTCAGTATCTACAATAGGCAGTGTGGTCAGTATCTACAATAGGCAGTGTGGTCAGTGTCTACAATAGGCAGTGTGGTCAGTATCTACAATAGGCAGTGGTCAGCATCACCAGTTTGGTCACCTAAAACATGGTGTTACACAAAATTTGTTTGACCCTAATTGCATGGTGACACAAAAAAATGGTGACACACAAAAAGGTGACACTCGCAACATCATGACAGTCACAGTATGGTGACATAACGTGGTGACACATACAACATGGTATTGTTTACATATCAACAAGATTTCATACTTACTTCACGAAATATTAGCTCCTGCTTCTACTTGATTATAAATACCAAATTAGCCAGCAGAGAGATATGGAATAGTGTAGTCCGGCACAAGCTTGATTGTCCGTATAACGGTCCTACACGCAGCAGAATGTCCGTATGACGGTCCAACATGCACCAGAATGTCCGTATGACGGTCCAACACGCAGCAGAATGTCCGTATGACGGTCCAACACGCAGTAGAATGTCCGTATGACAGTCCAACACGCAGTAGAATGTCCGTATGACAGTCCAACACGCAGTAGAATGTCCGTATGACAGTCCAACACGCAGTAGAATGTCCGTATGACGGTCCAGAATGTCCGTATGACAGTCCAACACACAGCAGAATGTCCGTACGACGGTCGGCGGCACCAACTGAAGATGTCATTAAACCATGAATGAACCGTCCAACCAGACACGTCACTCAACACCGCTAGCCCCGCCCCCTCGCCTGTGTCACTCTACCTGTTGCGCAACTTAGCGCCCGACAGAGAGGTGCACTGAGAAGGGGATGCACCGCGTCGTGTAGCCAGCAGGGGAGAGAACCCGCCGGTAACTTCAGGGTGATCGATCTTGATAGAAGGGCCGTGCATTGACAGACCAGAGCCCACTTAAGGTGGATAGTTTCCACAAGTACACATTCTGTTAAGGGACGCCATTAAGGTGGATAGTTTCCACAAGTACACATTTTGTTAACAGAGGCTATTAAAAGGTGGATAGTTTCCACAATTACGCATTATGTCAAAGGACGAAAACTAGAAAACCTGACACTTCTAAATGCCATGCGATCTAACACTTTTACCTAAGTCTATTTTCTGGTCCAAGCAGATCTATTTATGTAGCTACAGGCATTTTTATATACAGTAATTTCGTATTTACAATCATATTAATTTTAGCATGACAGTTATGACAGTTTCTGACATTTTCTGACAGTTTGCTGGTTGTTATTCTGTGATCACTGTGGTTGAAATGACCTCTCGGCTAACATAGACCACTCAAGTGACCACTTTTTGACCACTGTCTGAAACATGACCAACTATCAAATGTGTGGCCGTCGCACAGTTAACTGCTCTAATTTTATTTTAAAAATCTAGCAACGGTCAAATTTGACATGGGAGAATATCCAGTTAATTTAAAAACATTAGTTCTCGTCTCCCCTGAACATTTTTTAAAAAACGTACGTTACCTTCCAACCAGATCGTCTATGAATCTGACAACTACACTTTACTCCATCTAGATCTTTTATTTGATCTTTTGTTTTCACATCTACCATTTGATTTACTATTGAAACGTTCTGATTCATAAAGCCGCACGTACGAACGGAGGCAGTGGTTTAGAACAATTGAAATTATTAAAAAAGAATTTTTTTTAAAAACAATCCGGAATGGTCATTTAAAAAAAATGTTGCAAATTAATTATATCAAGACCTGTATATTTTGCTAGTTACCTGAATGCCCAGATTTCTTTTTAATTGTTTTTAAAAATCATCATATTAATCATATCCATCGACACGTGACAATTTATGGTCCTCCATAATTTCACACTAGATGTAGTGTTTTCTTCTAAAAAGAGTCTATACGAGTTAGATCTAGATCTAATATTTTCTTCTAGTAGCGTCTGTTGGCCAGTACACAATGAAATGTGCATCAGAGGACATGTTCCCAGCTAGAAATCAATGACCAAAATAACCGTTAAGCCTTAAGGCGATGTCGTGAAAAATTCAGCGTGGTCATTTGGTGTCAAACCTGTCTAGACGCACCAGATGACCAATACCGGAAGTCTGGCGGCTACCAGGTGCATGTTTGACACGATGAAAGTTGGCGCCCATTGGTCGGTTCAGTAGGTCAGCCCAAGGTCAATATACTTGAATTAATTTATGCCACAGCCTTAAGTTTAATTGGTTGCTTCTGTCCAAGAAAAAAAATAACAGACATTTACGGAGTTGAGAAAAAAACAATTTAAAAATCTTTATTCAAACAGTAACATTTTACAATATGGGAAATATTTGCGTTCATGTTAATTAACATTGTACAATAGGTAAAATAATGAGCATGCAACATTGTACAATAAACATAATACAATTTTCACTGGACCTATTTCATGTCGGGCTTTTATATGCTACAATTTTGTAGGGTATGGTACAATATTTTGGGTATGCTACAATAGTTCGCTAATGCTACAATAGTTTGTGAATGCTACAATAGTTAGCGAATGCTACAATAGTTAGCTAATGCTACAATGAATGACCTGAGGCTTGTACTTTTGATGCGAACGACCAACTGCATCAAGGTAGACCAGGTGTTGGCTAGCTAGTGGCTGACTACGTCAATCTGTAAAGGTGGATTGTGGTGCGTGTTTGTGTCATTTAGATGTGGTCATGATGTAACTGAAATGTGGTCTTGATGTGACTGAAATGTGGCCATGATGTGCTATTGATGTGGCCATGATGTGCTATTGATGTGGCCATGATGTGCTATTGATGTGGCCATGATGTGCTATTGATGTGGCCATGATGTGCTATTGATGTGGCCATGATGTGCTATTGATGTGGCCATGATGTGCTATTGATGTGGCCATCTACTATATGTTGTCATGATGTGCTAGAAAACTGGGCATGATGTGAAGATGTGACCATGATACTCTAGAAATGTGGTCATGATTGGCTAAAAATTGTAGCCATGTTCTATAATGTGGCCATAATGTGTTAAAGATGTGGCCATAATGTGCTAAAGGTGTGGCCATAATGTGCCAAAAGTGTGGCCATAATGTGCTAAAGGTGTGGCCATAATTACTGAAATGTACCTGATATTGCTATGTATTTAGTAGTGGCGCTAATGTGTCTGAGATGTGACATTGACGTGACTGAACTGTGGCCATGTGACTGAAATGTGGCCATGTGTCTGAACTGTGGCCATGGTATGCTGGAATTGTGGCCACGATGTACTAGTGAAGATGGCCACGTGTTCAGGCTCTAATGTGACAGGGATGCAAACACGTGCAATATGTAGACACAGCAAGGAGCGCTAGAGAGAGACCACGTGACACTTTTCTAAAACTAGCAAACAACTGATTACAATAAAATGGGATGGATGGGAAAAAGCGTTTGTGGGTGTTGCGTTAAGTTGAGAGAATGGGTATTTTGATGGGGTAGGTATAGTTCAAACGTTTACAATTTCTTATCTATATTTATGGTTTATTGTAGACTCGTATTTGATTTACTTGCTAACCTACATAGTTTTCTACGGTGACTGTCATATTTGGAGCAGTGTATAAACAGCTTTTAACTAGAGTGATGCAATTTGTAAAAAAAAAAATAATTCAAATGTGACTAAGTTAAGCAAAATAAAGAAAACTAAAACAAAACTACAAGTAGCACATTACTTTGGAAGTTCTTGGAGTAGAAAAAAAATTGCAGTTAAATAAATCGGAAAGCCCAGCTGACCTGAATATCACTCTAACAGTTTGTCTTAAAAGCCAGAACACAAGGCTAAAATCTGAGTTTAGTTAAAAATCAGGGTAGACAATAGGATCTCCCTGACTAACATCTGCGGCTTACAAAGCCTGAATTGTCTAGGATGGGTAACTCGTGCAAGATTGGGGAATTAAATTAATTTCACGGTTACCTGCCCTTGCTTTAAGCACTAGAAAGTTTAAACACGAGAAGAGCAAGTAACCAGTGAATCCAATCAAACGTGGCGAGTACCACATGAAGTAACAAAGTAGCAAAATACCTCCAGGTAAGATGCTGTCATCGATGTCGTGGTGATCGATCTGTCATGTCATTTAAGTCCAGACTCCTCCCCTTATGTCCTAACGTGTGTGGGGTACTGGGCACAGGAGTAGGACTGCTGGAGTGGCATGTACATATTGGAAGCTCCACTTCCGGTAGTGGAGGACAAATTGTATGCGTTGGTAATCTGCGAACCTGAGTAATGGCCGCCTCCAACATAGGAGGGGTGGAAGCTTGCCATGCTGTAAGCTTCGTGGTGTGATGACGTCAAACTCGAGGGTGACGTCAGGCTTGATGACGTCAGGCTGGATGGTGACGTGGAACCGCTTAAGTGGGACAGGCCTAGTGGACTACTTAAATGTGAAAGCCCTAACGATGAGCCACTGGTATGTGAAAGCCCTAATGAGCCACTCGTATGTGATTGTCCTAATGATGAGCCACTTGTATGTGATTGTCCAAGCAATGATCCACTGATGTGTGAATTAGCTAATGATGAGCCACTCATTTGAGATTCACCGAACGAAGAGCTATTTAAATAAGAATAGCCCAATGTAGCGCCACTCACATGAGAATGTCCTAAAGAAGCTCCACTCAACTGCGAATGTCCTAAAGAGCCTCCACTCAACTGCGAATGTCCTAAAGAGCCTCCACTCAACTGCGAATGTCCTAAAGAGCCTCCACTCAACTGCGAATGTCCTAAAGAGCCTCCACTCAACTGCGAATGCCCTAAAGAGGCACTGCCTGCACTAGTACCAGATGAGCTGCTGCCTACAGGGCTGGGGGCGGGGGAGGCGAACCCTTGTGAGTTGCCCATGCAGCTGTTGTAGTAGGCGCCGTAGACCGAAGCCCAGTCCGTGTCTTTGGGTGAGTACGTGTAGGACTGGCCAGGTGCCAGCGGCCACGCCCCGTATGCCATTGAGTTGATGGCGGGGTAAGATTTGTAGCCGGCACTGTGGTGTCCATACAAGTTGTAAGGGGCGTAACTGTGTAGCGCCGAATAATTATCGAGGCTACTTCCCTTGGCTTTGGAAAGTTTAAATCTTTTCGCCCTTCTCAGAAAGCTGCCGTTGCCAAACATGTCGCCACAGCTGGGGTGCAAGGCCCAGTAGTTGCCCTTGCCTGGGCGCCCCGGGGCGCGGGAGATCTTGATGAAGCAGTCGTTGAGCGAGAGGTTGTGTCGGATAGAGTTCTGCCAACGCTGCTGGTTCTCCTTGAAGTACGGGAACTTCTCCATGATGTAGTTGTAGATCTGGTTCAAGGTCATCATACCGGAGGGCGAGCTCTCGATGGCCATGGTGATGAGGGCGATGTACGAGTAGGGCGGCTTGACGTCACCGAACGTTCGGCCCTCGCTCGCCAGCTTGCACTCGTCGCCCGTCTCGTCTGCTGATGTGTCGTCCTCGTGACTCGACTGCCCGACCGGCTGCTTGACGTCAGCCAGCTCGTGACTCGGGTTCGAATCATCGGAGCGTGGAGAGACGCTGCCCAGAGTTCCGGCGGAGTCGTTGACCTTCTTTGGTGTGCTGGGAAAGGTCAAGGTTGGCAGCTCAAATCCTGTCAAACATTTTGATAGGACAGGATTAAAACATTTTGATTGGTCAGGATTAAAACATTTTGATTGGTCAGGATTAAAACATTTTGATTGGACAGGATTAAAACATTTTGATTGGTCAGGATTAAAACATTTTGATTGGTCAGGATTAAAACATTTTGATTGGTCGGGATTAAAACATTTTGATTGGTTAGGATTAAATAATTTTAGATTGGTCAGGATTAAACATTTTAGATTGGTCAGGATTAAATCATTTTCGATTGGTCAAGATTAAAACATTTTAGATTAGTTGCGACTAAAAATAAAAGAGAATAAACTAACATCACAACGAATTATTAGTTTAAAGATAGCTGCACAGAAACCTCGAAACATGAAATTACCACCCCACCCCCGCCCTCGTGCAACACGACAGACCATTACCTCGCCCCCTCCCCTGTCCCCCACCATACAACATGACAATCTTACCTTGTAGCGCCGAGCTGGGAAAGTTGTAGAGGTGGCTGAACAAATTTCTGCTCAAACCTGTCAGAAAACAATGGCGGCCATTTGTTAGACTACCCCAACATTCGGTCAATAACCAGATTGTTGCAAACTTAAAGCTCGTAAGTCAATAATTAGGTTGCTTCAAACTTAAAGCTCGTAAGTCAATAGATTGTTGCAAACTTAAAGATCGTAAGTTAATAATTAGATTGTTTCAAACTTAAAGCTAGTAAGTTTTGGAAGTGTTGAACTTTGACCCCGTCAGAAACTAGTGGAGTGAAATTGTCTACTGATGGTGTAAATTTAAACCCGGTCATTCCCTGTTTGGGGGAGTGGCGGGTGCGGGAGGGTTGTTGGTTCTGGGGATGGGTCGGGGGTGGGGGTGGGGTAGGGGGGTCCGGGGTGCGGAGGGTAAAATCAGGGGTGCAGGGGTAGACGGGTGACGGGTTGTGGCGGGAGGGGGAGGTGTATCAGAGAGAGGGTGACTAAAGTATAAACTGACCTGACTGTGATGACGTGTCTTGTAGAGCGGGTGACGTGTGGTACGTGTTGGATGACGTGATGGGCGTGCTGGTCATCATGCATGACGGGTGTTGACCTTTGACCTGAGGTGACGAGTACTGTCCAGTTACAGAGAGAAAGTTCTCCAGCTTCTCCATGTTCACCATCTTCTCTAGATGTGTCGGGTCTTCAAATCTTGTGCCAAGTTACAGCAACAGTTACAGCATACTTTATGTTACAATTGGTTTCTGTAGGGTGAAAACAAGTTACATAACACGCTAGCATCACGCTAACAACGCTAGCATCACGCTAACAACGCTTACATCACGCTAACAACGGACGGTATGAGCACATTGACAGCTTAACGAACTGGACTTAACTGACCGCATGTTAGACACACACGATCTGGTCAGTTGTCAGACGTCACAGTACTACCGACACAGAAAGACACGTCTTGTGATCTCAAGTTGTTTGGGTTATAACCAAACTACATGACAACGTCATAAACATCTCGTGTTAAATTTGTCAGTTTACCAATTGGTTTAACTTTCAAAATTATAATTATAACCCTAAACCAGATCCTTAACTTCTTCAGAACTTACGTGAAACAGTGGCAGTAAAATGAATATGTTACAATATAAAAGTCCAGTGAACTAACTATACAATTTGACGTCTGCCTAACGTCTGCTGGTCCAAGAGTAACTGAGCTACACACCGACACAGACACACGTCTAAACTCACTGAGCTTTGCTCATCCAGCTCCCCAGTTTCCCGCCCCACCCCATCGGTGTGGCCGTCAACAGCAGCATTATAACACACGTTCTAACTGTCACGTGTTTGTCTGTCGTGTTGGTGTGTGATGTCGTGTGTGTGATGTCATGTGTAGCTGAGACTCGAAGTCGACAGATTGAAAAAAAAGCTAAAAACCAAAATTAAATAGTTACATTACATTATGTGCAAGTTTGATAAAAATTTACTTCTTACAATTTACACGATTGTAACAAATTATCTCAAAGAATGGCCAAGTGAAAAATGACACTTGTGCATCGAGTTTTGGTTGCTATGCGAATGCTGCATTTGGTCAATTCTAACCTACAAACATGTTTAAAGTTTAAACAATGGAAGCGAGCGAGTTGACGAAAATCCTTCCATCATGTTATTGACGGAATAAAAACATGCTTTTTTTTTACTTTCTCGTATATACAAAGTATAGAGAAAGTCTTGTAGTCGTGCAAAAAAAAATCGAGATTTTTTTGTAAATCTCGACGTTTAACAACTCGGGAAAACATAGTTTTGCAATCTTGTCCCTATGTCTCTGTGTGTGTATGTGTGTGTGTGTGTGTGTGTGTAAACACGATAACTTGAGTACCGTTACAGCTAGGTTGATGAAATTTCATATATATGTATTATATCAAAATCGTAGATTCGCATAAGCTTTTGAGTGATTTCCGATAAACGAAAGTGGGACTTTTTCTACTTTGAATTTTTCAAAAGCCTATAACTTGAGTACTATTTCAGATAGATAAATGAAATTTCACATGTAAGTAAAAGATCTAATTCTCTGCCTTCTATCAAATTTTAAGTAATTTCTGTTAAACGGAAGAAGTAATTTTTGCGATTTCCGATTTCTCAAAAAAAACGCATGTGAATTTATAAAGTACTAATAATATTCCGCACTATTATGCACATTTTATTTGGCGTTTACTTGGTGTGCAATTCTTTTTTCTACGGGATTTTATTCTATTTTAAAAAGCTTACGTATTTAAAATGGATTAAGTTATGTCTATATCCCGAGTTGCCATTCCCTGTTGTTTCATATAAGAATATTCGAGAAAGTTTAGGGGAGATCACTCCCGGTTTATTATTTATTATTTTTATTTATTTACCGAAAATATTAAAAACACCAAATACATCCAATCTTTAGTAAAGTCCGAAAAAACCCAGACAAACAGGATTTTATAAGCAAATTAATTTTAACTACGTCGTGCATGATTTTAAAATTATTTAATGGGTCTCTCGAATACTTTCTCGCTCGCGTCCATTATAGTACACCAATACAATGAGTCAAACAGACATGACAGAGTTGATGAGAATCGTATCATATTGTTGACATGGATTAAAAAAAAAAACGTGGGTCAAGACAAGAAAATTCGTTCTGATATTAAATTTGACTCAATTGGATGCCTTATATAGATCTATTTATTATGAATGAAACAAAATTTTATGCAAATTAGTAAGCAGTCTTGTCCAACTATTCCACACTATTATATGCGCATTATCACGTTCATTAGGTGCACAATGGTTTTTAGTCATGCAACGGGGTCGGTGTGGTCGAGTCGGTAAAGCTCAAGGTTGCTAAACCGAAAAGTCTCGAGTTCGAACCCTCGGGCAGATGAGGCTCGTTAGCTGGGGACAGCCACTCTTCTAGGAGAGACAACTCCAAAATTAAACAACTGCTGCCTTGTAGTTTGTTCTTGGTTGGACAAAGGCTATGGAAGCAAATCCAAAAAGAAAAGCAGGCTGAAATCGGAGTCAATGGCCTCAATGGCGCATAACCAGTTGACACGTAACGCTTAATTGTGTTGGAGGCGTGGTCGAGTCGGCAAAAAAAAGCTCATGGTTGATAAATTCTAACAAAAGTCTCGAATTCAAACCCACTGGCAGATAAATCTCGATCCCCTTCAACACTAATAATTAAGAACGAAGAAGAAGAAGAAGTCATGCAACTATATTTAAGTTAATTGTTTTTTAAAATTGTAAAGTACTGAAAAAAAAATCATTAAAAAAAACGTTTTAATAACAAGCTTTTATGTAATAGTACTCTCAAAACTTTGTTTAAATATTTAATAATACACTACCATTTAAATAACTATAAAGAAAAGCGTGGGTCTCTTCCTAAATATTAGTAAAGGTATCAAATAGATACTAAAGTGACCCGCGCTTTTGTTTTATATTTCTTTAAATGGTAGTGTATTATTAAATCGAGCCGACCCGCGGCGTATCATACGCCGCTATTTAGTTGTTTTATTTTCTACTTTTCAGTGATTCATAATTTGTGAATTCGACAGTACCAATGCTGCCACTGAAAATATTTGCTTTAAAACACTACTCCCCCCTACCCTAAACTCCCCCCCCCCCCCGTGAAAGCAGCCTCTTCTTAGTTACCTCCTGTAAGTTTAAAATCGTTTCAAACTAAATTATCTGCCCCTAATAGCCGTCACTAAACCCGGCTCTACGATTTGTAAACATTTAGAGTGAACCACCGCTCACCAGACCATGTGGAGGTGGGGTGGGGGTGGTAGTAATAGAGAGGAAGAGAGGGGACTGTAGGGCGCGCTTGCAGCTTGTTTTCTAACGGCTCCCAGTAGAGAATTATATATATAGATTTAAACAAAGTTATTTATTTTCTACTTCTGAGTGCATTATTACATAAAAGCTTATTGATTAAAACGTTTTTTATGAATTTTAATTTTTTTTACTGGGTGGCCACAAGAAAAATAAATTGTCTTGTCTTTTTACTTGTCGTCTGTGTCTGTCTGTCGGTCTATATCAAATTTGTATTTCTGTACCAACTCTTGAACGATTTCCGGTACCAGAAGTGGTACTTTGCTCTATTTCCGCGTGAACACTATAACTTGAGTACTGTTTTATAAATAAAAATTACATATAGGATCTTTTACTTAAATAATTACTTTCAATTGTTGAGTGACCTTTGATAAACGAAAGTGATACTTTACCTATACCTTAAGCACCGTTTCAGTTAGGTAAACGAAAGTTTATACTTTTATTCTTAAAAATAAGATCCTATTCTCTTGATTCTTAAAAAAAATTGAGTTATATCCGATGAACGAAAGTATTTTTAAAGCTATTTCCGATTTCTGAAAACTGATCTCTTCTATCGGACCGATTTCTTCAAAACTTTTAACGTAGGTCAAGACTGAAGTGAAGTCAAAGTGTGTCAAGGTCTAGACTCGATGACAAATACATTGCGAAATAGAACTTGTCTGAATTAAACGTTTAATTATTTAAAAAAAAAAGTTTCCTTTATAAGGCAATAATTTTTTGCACTATCATACATACATTGTTAACGTTTATTTGGTGCACAATTCTTTTTTTTACGCTATGGTATTCTATTTAAAACAATATACGAGAAAGTTTAAGGGAGATCATTCCCACTTTACTTTTCTGACATTTATGAGTTAGAAAAAAATACATATTTAAAAAACAACAAATATGCCTCCAAATCTGTACACACAAAACAATACAATCAATATTCAATCACAATTTTTTAAAAATATACATAGTCTCCCCTCGAAAGTCCAACCTGGATGCCATTAAATGGAATTAAAATAATAAACATCGTACTCATCGCTTTTTTAAAATATCGTCTCGCTCTTCTATCTCTACATTACAATAATGCTAAAAGTTGGAGAAAAAACATCTTTTTACAAGCTTTTTTACAAGCTTTTATTTAACTCACTTCCTCTGTCGTAAGTCGTCAGTCGACAGTCTGTCGTCAGTCTAGACGGAAACGCAGGAGTGAAAATTCGGACAGTTCTACTTGACCGACACGATTCACAGTTGGCACGTGGGTCAAGACATGAAGACAATGCAATCTGAAACTAAATTTGACTTAATTGGATGCCTAATTGATTTTTTATGAATTAATTAAAATTTGGACCGAATTAGTAGGCATGTCTAGCCGACCACACCACACGCGTCATCAATAGCTGCGCCATCACGACCACGTAATGGCTGCGTTCAAAAACCATTGCGCGCCTACTGAACGTGATATTCAGTAGGCGCGCAATGGTTTTTAGTCATGTAACTCTATTGTAGATAAAACATGTAAAGTACTGAAAAAAAAATTCATAAAAAACGTTTTAATAACAAGCTTTTATGTAATGATGCACTAAAAAGTAGAAAATAAATTATAGACTACTATTTAAATAACTATAAAGAAAAGCGTGGGTGTCTTCCTTAACATTAGTAAAGGTATCCAATAGATACTAAAGTGACCCACGCTTTTCTTTATAGTTATTTAAATAGTAGTCTATAATTTATTTTCTACTTTTTAGTGCATCATTACATAAAAGCTTGTTATTAAAACGTTTTTTATGAATTTTTTATTTAACTCACTTCCTCTGTCTGTCGACAGTCTGTCGTCAGTCTAGATAGAAACGTAGGAGTGAAAATTCGGAAACTTCTACTTGACCGATACGATTCACAGTTGGCACGTGGGTCAAGACATGAAGACAATGCAATATGAAACTAAATTTGACTTAATTGGATGCCTAATTAATTTTTTATGAATTAATTAAAATTTGGACCGAATTAGTAGGCATGTCTAGCCAACCACACCACACGCGTCATCACCTTCAATAGCTGCGCCATCACGTAATGGCTGCGTTCAAAAACCATTGCGCGCCTACTGAACGTGATGTTCAGTAGGCGCGCAATGGTTTTTAGTCATGTAACTCTATTGTAAATAAAACATGTAAAGTACTGAAAACAAAATTCATAAAAAACGTTTTAATAACAAGCTTTTATGTAATGATGCACTAAAAAGTAGAAAATAAATTATAGACTACTATTTAAATAACTATAAAGAAAAGCGTGGGTGTCTTCCTTAACATTAGTAAAGGTATCCAATAGATACTAAAGTGACCCACGCTTTTCTTTATAGTTATTTAAATAGTAGTCTATAATTTA